TGCCTCTTTGTCGTCACTGGATGTCACTGTCGCTGTCCCAATAACTGTACTACCACGATAGCGGTGCATATTATTATTCTTCCGATTAGCCTTCATTACCACTAGTGCACCGGAGCATACTCTCATCACTCCATTTTCTGCAATGATTTTGAACCCTTTTGATTCTAGGGCTCCCACAGAGATGAGATTCTTCTTCAAATCCGGTACATATCGAACATCTATCAATGTTCTGATCATTCCATCATGGTTCCTTAATCGTATTGAACCAATGCCATATGAGGTAAGAGGGCTGTTATCCGCTGTGTGGATGACTCCATATTCTCCTTCTTGAAATTCCACGAACCAGTCCCTGTTGGGACACATATGATAGCTACAAGCCGAGTCCATCAACCATATGTCTGATGATGTTGATGACTCTGTTGTAACTAATGAGAAGTCTGAATCATCACAATCAGCTACATTTGAATCCATAATGGCCTTTCCATTGTTATGTTTGGCCTTATTCTTCAACTTCGGACAGTCTTTCTTCCAGTGCCCTTTTTCTCGACAAAAGGCACATTCATCTTTGCTGGGTCTGGATCTTGACTTGGATCTTCCCTTCTTTGTCCTCGTTTGATTTTGAGGACGACCCCTCACAAATAGTGCTTCTCCTTCTCCGCCCTTCTGTTTTTCTCGCTTTCTTTGTTCATAGCTGTACAAAGCCGAACAAACTTCTCTGAGAGAAATTTCGTCATTTCCATGGAGTAGAGTAGTTTCAAGGTGCTCGTACTCATCAGGAAGTGACGCCAACAACATTAAGGCCAAGTCACCATCATCATAAGTTGTATCCATATTTTGCAAATCTGTGACCAACTTATTGAAACTGGTGATATGTTCATTCATCGTGGTACCAGGAACATAGGTGAAGTGAAACAGTCTCTTCTTCATGTACAATTTATTTTGACTGTTTTTCTTCAAAAATTTATCCTCCAGTGCTTTCCATAATTTACTTGCAGAAGTTTCCTTTGTGTATGGATATTTCTGCTCTCTAGCAAGGTAGGATCGAATGGTACCGCAAGCAACACGGTTGATAATTCTCCAATCTTCTTCTCCAATAACATCTGGTTTCTTTTCTTCAATGGCCAGATCTAGCCCTTGTTGAAAAAGGACATCTAGAACCTCGCCTTGCCACATCCCAAAATGTCCGGACCCGTCAAAAATTTCTACCGCAAATTTCGCATTTGACACAATTCTTGTCATAAGCGAAGATGCCAATGATGACGTATTGTTGACACTTGATGTAGATTCTTCTTGTTTATTGTCTCCCATATTTGACACAAATATTATTTAATAGCTGACGACACAAATCAAGATTATTTCCTTTCTGATGTAGAAGATCAGACTAAGCTGCAACCACAGAGCATACTCAGACAGAACCTTGACTCAGTTACCAAGATAAATCTTTTCTGATGTGGAAGATCAGACTATGCTGCAACCACAGAGCATACTTAGACAGTACCTTGGCTCTGATACCAATTGTTGCGGAAGCCAAATGTATATAGTGTGAATAAGTCACAACTACTATACCAAAAATTATGACAGCCACCAAATAATAAATAAGACAATAAAACAACAATAAAGGAAATACCAGAATTTACGAGGTTCGGCTAATTTTGCCTACTCCTCGGACACAACCAATATTTTATTCCACTCCAAAAATACAAGTGAAATAATACTAAAGAGAGAAGATACAAATGCCTTAAACAGATGAGAAGGCAAATGAGAGGTGTGTTTAAATCCTAAACATTAAGCCTTCTTTTATAGGGGGAAAATCCCCCCAACCCTTCTTTTCCCACCGATGTGGGACAAAAGGTTTTGCCAAATTCAACACTTCTCTTTTTAGATATTTCAAAAAATGTATTGACATTTTTTTTTGTGGAAAATTCCTCAGAATACATTTTCATGCATCGTTGATTTGAAAAATGTTTTATTTTTGAATTTTTGCTTTTTTTTTTTTTTGTGTGTGTGTGTGAAGTGCTTGCCTCTTTAAGTCGTTTGACATGATGGATAAGCAAAAGTAATCCTTGGATAAAAATTTAGTACCATTTTATCCCTTGTTTGGTTATTAATCTTGGGATAAGTTATCTCATTATTAAAATAGTACCAGGATAACTTATACCTGCTAGAGGGTGGAATAGTAATCCTAGAATAAAACAGTAAAATTGATAATACCAGGATTAATACAACATACTAAACAATCAATAAGAAATAATATCAAGATAACTAATCTCAGCATAAGTTGTCTTCAAAACAAATGACCCCTAAGAGTATTTCCTTTGAACTTTTCATCTGTTTTTAAGCTTTTATCTACAAGCATTAATTCAAGATCAATTCAAAAAAAAGAATCAAATGCTTACATTTTACAAGAAAATTTTCAAGAAACCTATGCACTCTTAGCTTCCTCAGCTTGGTTTTGAAGATTCATTAATCCTTTTGTCAACCAAATTGCTGTTTCTCTAGAACAAAACAGCTTTTTCTCCAACTGGTTTTAGCACACCAGCTAATTCCTCTATCTTTGCTCATACTAATTCCCACATTGTTCTTCCCTTGTAACAAATTCAGTGTAGCCATTACTGATGTCTCACTCGCTGCACGCTCATGACCGTCATGTTTTTCTGTATCCCGATTAGTACTTAGATGATCAATGGCTTTTGCTGCAACTTCATTATATGGTTTTGGTATTCCTGGTTTCTTCAACGTGCATTGTTTTGCTCCTCTAGTTGAGAATTTTCCACTTTCTTTCCCTCAATAGGCCTATGATCAGTTGCTTTATGCTTTTCCTGATTTGTTCCTTCAATTGTGTTATAAGTTGTAAATTCTTTTGTATCAGCTTCATGTTGATCAGTAAAAGTATTGTGGAGCTTCTTGAATTAGTACTTCCACTTTTCTTGACAGATTTGCTTTGTATTCAAACATGCCACTTCACGTGCGGACTTGATTCTTTTATGAACCAAACACGTGGAAGTTGTTTTTGTTTATGGGCGGCGATGAGACTTTAACAGGAGTCAATTATGTGATTGTAGTCAGGTTCAATCTCCACCAACATCTTTATGATGGTCCTACCTAATGATCTTAATGTGTGCATTGCATAGTGCAAGTCCGAATCACAAGTTATCAATATAAAATCTTTCTCTTCATCTTCATACCTGATCGACGAATTTCCAACTAACTTTATTCTCTTTTCTACTTCTTCTTCCAAATCCCTTTTCCCTGATGAAAATGAGAGTGGGAACCTCACTGTTCGATTTCCATAAGTTACCTTAACGCTTATGAAATTCTCACTTTGCATGGTAACATGCAATTCCTTCGAATTTGTTGCGGATTTTGGGCCACTTCCAGGAGAAAAATCAACATATTGTTGGTGTCTAGGACCAGAATCTGAAGGTTGTCTATCAACAACTTGTAGTAACTCCGCTTGAGAGAGGGAGCAATTATGCTTTCTTGATTTAACACGTGGCCACCGGTAAATCTCATAGTCTCTACATATGCGCTTCAATGTAGTTCGTGCAACTGCAATGAGAACATAAGTTTAGCAGCTCGAGTTACCAAAGAAGTAAAGTGAAAAAGGCTAATGTTAACATCATTAAATTAAGTAAAGCATAAGGTTCAAGTGATTCTTAAGTGTAGTGCATAAGTTTACCCCCTAAGCTGTTAGCAGCATCAGTAAGCTTCTTCCCAAAATGTTGCTTTAGAACCTCCAGAGTAATTCCGTATTCTCTTTTTATCCTCTTCGTCTTGTTTTGCTTCTCCAAATCAGCATGCACTACATTCCTTTGGAGGTCCCTCGCATCAACTTCTACATCATCCACTTGATGATGTTCTGAACCTAGCTGCACAATCTGTGTCCCTATCCCCAATTCCAATCCGGGTAGAGATCTAGCAACATCATCGTCTAAATTAGGAGAATGTCTTCTGTTATCAGCAATACTGGTTGTAGTTGTTTGATTCGAGTCTACAAGATTTGCATCTCCTTTATCCTTTGTAGCTGATAGAGGTTGGCCAAACTCAAAAAAGTCTTGCATGTCAAAAAATGCATCAAATTGCATTGTATCTCCATTATCCAGTGTAGCCACTGCGGCTGGTTGATATTGGCCTATTTCAAAAGAATTGAACATGTCAAATAGGATACCAGGTTGCATTGCATCTCCTTTATCCTGTGTAGCCTCTGTAGCTGATCGAGGATGACCTAATTCAAAAAGATCGAGCATATCAAGTGGAGAAATTAAATAACTTCAACAAACAAGCTCTTCCCCATCTCTCATCCTGAACTAACCAAGAAACCTGGAAATTGCTCTTTTATTGTGGCCACTAGTGTATCCAAGTATCTCTTTGGATCCCTATTGAGCTTCTCATCCCGAGGAAAAATAATTCTAGTACTATAAAATTGTTGTTTGCTAGCAATCAGAAGGCAAAATAGGCTGTTACTCCCTCAATCTCAAAACGGCCAATGGCGACATGTTTCCGTGCTTAATGTATAGATTGTCAGAACAGGGAGCTGTACTCTTACGTTGTACCCGTGTAAAGTGGTGCATTAAGGGGTTTTATTAGATGCTCATAAGCTTGTAAATAGGATTTTGTATAAATACAAAATTCCTACCCGGTTTAGGGTAAACACAATGTTAATAGAGTTCTGTGATGATACCAGAGCAAACGGAGGAGCAAAAAGAGGTTGCCTTGTTGGCTGAATCACCGTCACATGTTGCTCTATCTCCCCCTATTGCCCCTCCAAATATGTTATCAGTGTATAATCTTCTTCATTATCAGTGAACATATCAGATTCTAACCACATAATATGCATGATGTAACATGCTAGTTGCAAGTTAGCACAACAACAACAACAACGACCCAGTGAAATCCCACTAGTGGGGTCTCGGGAGGGTAGAGTGTACGTAGACCTTACCTCTACCCCGAGGGGTAGAGAGGCTGTTTCCGAAAGACCCTCGGCTACTAGTTGCAAGTTAGCACAAGCCTTTTAATACTTACCACTTATATGGGTTCCAGATACTCGATAAATACCATGTCCGCTGCCACTTGAACCACTAACTGCACTGTTAGAAGCGTATACATCTGCTTTAACCATCTCATTTCCCAGAAAATTTACTGTCGTGTTCTCATTTCCCAGAAAATTTACTGTCATGTCTCTTGTGACCTCAACCCTCTGTAAAGAACCTGCACTAACACTCATCACTTGTGAAATATGAAACATACAGCCAGCAGGAAACGAACTTGAAATGCTAAAATTAAGACAGCAAGTTAAATTGCAACAAGTATAGTTTTACCAGCTACTTGTGACGTTGCAACTTCTCCTACTTGTGCTCCCACGGTCATAGGAAGATGTGATGATGCTAAAGCTTCAATATCCAGACTATGTTGCTTGACAAGAGTCTCCACAGCTCTTGAACCAACAAAAACAGAAGTTAGGGAAGTTTAAGCAAAACTGTCATAGGCAAGTCACACAAGTGTATCAAGAGCCCCAAACTGTATGCAGGCTATTTTTTAGCAGTTTTTCTGGTTTCAACCATCGAGCCACTGCTCAAGGATGCATTTGTACAGGAAACATAATCACACGGGGCAGCTATAGTTATACTGTGAAAATTACACTGTTCATTGTAAAGGGAAGCACAACATGAGAATGATTAAAAGAAGGTTATTGAAGAGAGGGGGTCGGGACCAAATAAGGAGGGAAATATGCAAGAAGTTCTGTAATGCTCTAAATATATGAATGGAGTTTAAAGCGAATTACCTTGCTACTACTTTAAAGGGGATTGAGTTTCCCTTCCCGTGGGATCTCATATGTCGTAAAATCTGAGTCATGAGTAGCACAAAAATACAGGTAAATTGCTCAAATTTGGTAAGAAATACAACATAAGAGATGTAAACACACCTCATAAAGCTTTGTAGCCAATTTTGTCGGCTCGTCTTTAGACTCTTGGATAAGCTTATGCAGAAGCTTTGCTGCCTCCAGCTCAACATTATTTGGATTAGCCATCTTGTTCAGACTACACAAAATTGCAAAAGTCAAATCTAGCAGTCATAAAATGAAGCCCCCATTTCTTCGTCGCAACATCCAAGCCAGCACAACAAACAAAGATAACAAACGGATAATGCAAAATATTCACTTCCAAACTCCACCAGTTGCACCATCTTTATAACAATAACTCAAATGCTTATCGTTACTAATAGTTGGCCTCACACAATACTGAAACAAGCAACATTTCTAAGTTAGGGGATTATTGAGTAAGGCCGGCTTTCAAACACAAACCCATTGTATAAATTGGGTGCTCCTGAACAACTTTTTCATATCATTCAAAGCCATTGGTTTGCTAAATCGACATACAAGAAAGACTGTACCATACCCTTTAATTGCATATCCTCTAGTATGAAACAGGCAGGCAAAATTACATAAAGCAAAACTCTTGGTGGAATTGGTTACCCCCGAGGATAAAATAAGCTTAAGAACTCACCATCAACAAATAAGTACAAGAAATTACTACACACAGTGGTCGAACCAGGGATTGTTTCCCTTTACTTATTTTAAATTTCATTCTTTAAATTCAGCTTGAGCGTCCTTCTGAAACAGTCTCTCCACCTGCACAAGGCAAGAGTAAGGTATGCATACACACTACTCTCCCCACAACCCATGTTGTTATTCTCTAAATTCAGAAATCCCTATCCACTCCCCCCCCCACCACCACCACCACCACCACAAAAAAATGAAGAAAAAAAAGCTCTTCAAAACCACACTAAGCTTATGCTGGTAAAGGTTTCAATTCATTCCTCTTCTAACACAGCTGCTCTTTCATTAGACAATAAAGCCAAGAAATAAAAAAATCACAAAGTAGAACTACAAAAACAACTAACTCACCTGGAAAATGTAACCAAAAAAAGCCTATTCATTACAACCAGCAATTAAATCTTGCGTCTTGACAAATTACTACCACAACTATGTCTTATGTAAATTCAGAATATCTATACATAACTGGTGGAGAAATTAGGATATATTACCTGATTGCAGTTCCAGGAATGTATCAAACTGAGGTAACAGAGGTATATATATTATATACATACATATAAAAAGGTTCAAAAGGTCGTATTGGTTGGGGTCTAATCAGTTAAAGCTGTATTTTAAAGGTCGTATAGGTTGGGGTCTAATCAGTTCAGCTGTATTTTTATGTCCTCTTAAGTTAATTGATTAAAGAAAAGGAGACGACTAAAAGAGAAACGAAAAGTCGTGCTAATAATCTTATTAGTTTTCCTCTTTATTTACTGTTTATAAAGTCTTCCCTTGACTTGCTCAGCTTTAAGTGGATTTGAGAAATATCAAAATTTGTGAATTATTTCATTCACATTCGGACACTCTTGAAGTTTAACATTTTCATTATACCTTTAATAACGTGTTCTTACAGTAGAACACGTGAAAAACAAAAGTATTTTTGTATGTTATACATCTTTTCCTTATGTGTTAAAAGTAAGGCTGTATTCTGGGTCCGGGCCTAAGTAAGCTAAACGAGCCGGGCCAAACGGTTCCGGGCTTTGGCGGGCCGGGCTTTGGCGGTTCCGGGCCAAACGGTCTGGATGGGTGGGACCGGCCCACTGTAGGCCTAAGCCCACATGGTCCCGGGGCTAAAAGGGCCGGGCCCACGGGCCTAAACGGGCCTAGCGTGTGTTCTGAGCTTTTTTTTTAAATTTTTTTTATCTAAGGCAATTTCTTGTAAACTATATATATATACTATATACTATATCAAATTTAAACGCAAAATAAATTGCAAAGAAATATTCAAGGGAATGTCTTATCATTTTTATTATTAGGACATTAATAAAAAATGCAATATCTATCTTAGTCTTCCTCTCCCCAATGGAATGAGCACAACAAGGTACTAATACCACCATTAAAAGGAAAAAAACTAAGGAAGATGTGCCAAAATACAAGTTACATATTAGTTTATGTATTATCTCTAACAAATTTCATAAATCCTTCAAGGTCCGGAGGAATTTCCGTTGGTGATGGTGGAAAAGAAGCTTGTTCATCACCGCTTCCGGGCGAAGCAGCATCCTGTGTAAGTTCCGCTAGCAATTCTTCATAAGCTTCGTCTATCTCCGGTTGTGATTCTACAAGTCCAAAATTTCTTCTTTCCAAACGGATCCAATCTCTGAAGAGTACTGATTTTTCCAAGCTCTCCCTCATAGACGCTATATGATCACTGATTTGAAGCTTCGCTTGACTGAAAGCGCTCTCCGATGCCACTGTTGAAGCTTGAACACTTAAAATATCTCGAGCCATCCTTGAAAGAACCGGATAGTGTTTTTGTTTGTCCTTCCACCATTCCAAAACATCGAAGGAGCCGTCGGGATTCTCTGATTCAAGTCCCTGCGACAAATAAACTTGAAGCTCATTTAGTTGTGAACTATCACCAATATTATCACCTTGAGAACCCCTGAACTCTGTCCAAGAACTAAGGGCTTTTAGGTTCGCAGTTCTTTTAGATGATTGCGAACTAGACGAAGTAGGAGTTGGAACATTTGGTCTAGCATGATCTAAGGCAAGTTGATAAGCATTATAAATTGTTTGAGCATTTATTTTAATTGAGGCTTTTGCATCTCCAAGTTTAGGAACCTTTCTTTCTCTAAGGCCAAATTCATCACATTTTTAAAATATTCTCTAAGTCTACTTCTACTGTTTAAATAAAAATGCCAATTAAGAGCCATTTTAACCTTTTCAATTTCCAAATTTAAAATTTTCATACTACACCAACAATTAAATGGTAAATATGACAAATACATCTAACATGAAAAATATTACTAAATGCAGGATTTAGTGTAGTTGTAAGCAAGCCTATAGCATTAGTGTTACTAGAAGCATTATCCATTGAAACAGACATTATTTTATCTCTAATGCAAAAAATATCTCAAATATCTGCAACTGTGTTAACAATAAACTTACCTGTGTGGCGTGAATTAATTATTCTATAAGCAATAATGCGCTTTTGCATTATCCAGTCCTCATCTATCCAATGACTTGTAACAGTTAGATAATCACAGTCATTACCACTTCTACCAATATCAGTAGTAATAGCAATGCGACAATCTATATGAGTAAATAAATAGCGCAAATATTGTTCATATTCATATTTATATTTATAAATATCGCTCTTTACGGTTGCGCGAGGCCATCCTTTATAAGTAGGATTAAAAACTCTTCTAATATAATGCACAAAGTGAGAGTTAGAAGGAAAACTATAGGGTAAGCACACAACAGTAACCATTTTTGCCAATTCTTCACGATCTTTATTTGGATCATAATATAAAATGCCACCGGTAACAGTGTTAATTCCTAGTTGAACTAGATTTGATCCTGTACTAGGGTTAACCTCAGTATCTAAACTTCTACCCTCTTGCGCAACTTTCATTTGTAAATATCTAGCTTTATCTCTAGGGTGTTTCTTTATGTGTCTAGTCAAAGTACCACGTACCGCTACGGTCTCCAGTATATTTATGAGCCATCAAAGACCCACAAGTTTTACACTTAGCCTTATTTTGTTCTCTTAGTTGAGTAAAAAAGTGCCAAACAACAAATGTTTCGGTCCGTTTAGAAGATTGTCTATTAAAAGTAGGGGTTACTACAGGAGGGTCAGGCGGGGCATCATTTGAATTATTATCAGTTGGGTTATTAACAGGACTAGGTATATCATCTAAATCCGGTTGCGTTTCATCTAAATCATTATTTTCCTCATCATTTTCAAAGATAGTTTGATTAGGATAAAGAGCATTCATAATTTCATCATTTAATTGTTGACCTGGTGCAACATCATGGCAAAATTGACTACCAAAAAATTAAAAACAAGGGTTATCACTATCAAGAATAACAGGTGGAGGAAGACGGGTAACAGGTCTGGATCGGGGAGCCAGAGGAAGAGTAGTAGTTTGGCGACTAAATTCACCAATTTTAGATTTTCCCTTACCATTACCACCAAATATTTTTTTCAAAGAAAAGTCCATATTAATTATAATTATACTAACTAAAACAAACAAAACTATAATATTAAAACTTAAGAGTTGGAACGAGTTTACCGAATTGACGAACAACTTCTTGAAAATTGAATATCGTTGAAGACTTGAAGACTTGAATACTTCAATTCACCAACTTCACAATTTTTCACGAAATTGCAATAATAAAGTAAGCAATTATAGAAGAAAATTAGAGAGAGATTGAAGAATTTGTGAGTAAAAATGAAAGAATGAGGGGTATTTATAGTTGATAATAGGGAAAAAGTATAATTATAAAAAGTTTTGGGGCCAAATGGCTATTTTTTAAAAAGCCAAACGGCTAAAATTGCAGGCCAAGGGCTACTTAGTGAGATCCCATACGTGGGGTCTGGGGAGATTAATGTGTACGCAGTCCTAACCCCTACCTTAGGAAGGAAGGGAGGTCGAGCTTTAAGGTTGTAGGCTGGGAGGTACTCGATCTCTTTTCTACTTCGAACCGGTGGTGAGGCTAGTTTGATAGGGTTGATGTTAGACGGCTAGTGGTTAATATTGTGTTCACACTATCCTTCTGTTTTTCATATCACCGAGCCTTAATTACTGGTTATTATTATTGTTTGTCATCTATTTTCTTGTTCTTATGATGCTGTTATTATTTCTATGGTTTCGGTTGACATTACTGATATATTGTCTCTTCTCATATTTTCTGTCTTTTTGAGACGAGGGTCTATTGGAAATAGCCTCTCTGCCCCATCGAGGTAGGGGTAAGGTCTACGTACACACTACCCTCTCTAAACCCTACTTGTGGGATATTACTAGGTCGTTATTGTTGTTGTTGAGCATTTTTAGTTCATTATAGTATATCTTATTATACATCAAATGTTATTCTTTCTTTTTTAAACTACATGCTCATTCAAACACTACCATATAAGATAAAAGAGAGGAAAAGGAAGCAGTAATCCTATTTTTCTATTACATTACCATCCTCAGTTTCACTTATTTATCTTCAAAGTCAGTTTACTTATTCAACATTGATGTTAGTGTTTAACCAAAAATATATCTTTCGGTCAAAGACTATTTTTAAAAGAAAACGGGCTTCTGATAACCAAGTTTTGCCTCACTTTCTCAATGATATAGAAGGAAAAGAACAAAAATAAATAAGAAAATAATTGATTGCAAAGTCAACATAGAGAATTTCGAGAAAAGCAGAAAAGTAAAGTAAATATATTCCAATATTGTCTTAGTTGATCTTACAAGTGAAATTCTCTCCCCTTATATAGAGGTTTATACATATAACATTTCTTTCCATTTATTGCGAAATCATTACGAGCTTTAATGGCATTTATGATCTGTTATAATTAGTAATTGGAACTATCCACGAGATTCTGATTCCCCTCCTCATTAATTGAAGGTTCATGAATCTTTCTTTTTTACTGTCTTGATTCAGTCTTTACCAGTTCTTAGGCTCGATACTACCTCGTGGGTGTTTCCCTCCCGTACTTTTTCTTATTTTATCAAATAAGACTGTCACGTGTTGCTATATCATTGCTATTACTTGTTATACCATGTCAGCAGTCTAATATTTCACGTGTAGCTCTTTTTCACCACCGATACAGATAGTCCTCCCATTTTCTTAATATTCTTTATTGAATATTCGTGGAAGTGGAAGGTTTTTATGGTAGGAATCCTCTGCC